GGCCAGGTCACCAATGAACATACCTACCACACACACCACACAAACACCACACACGCCATACACACAACACATACACCACACGCACCACACGCACCACACACACCGCACACACTGCACACACCGCACCACATGCACCACACACAACACACACACCATACGCACCACACGCACCACACGCACGCACCACCCCAACCACACGCACGCACCACCCCAACCACACACACTACACACACTAAACACACACTACACACACACCACACACACACCACACACACACCACACACACACCACACACACACACTACACACACCACACACACTACACACACACCACACGCACCACACACACGCACCACACACCATACACACACCACACACACCACACACACCACACACTACACACACACTACACACACACCATACACACACCACACACACACCACACACACACCACACACACACCACACGCACCACACACACGCACCACACACCATACACACACCACACACACCACACACACCACACACACACACACTACACACACACCATACACACACCACACACACACCACACACGTTCGTTCGTTTCATAATCCGCTTGTCCTGGTGAGAGTCGCGGTGATGGTCCACACCTCCCTTTCCCTGGCGACAGAATACATTACTATACACTCTTACACTATACACTCCTACGCGAACACTACTACACTATACACTAATCTACTATACACTACACACTACTACACTATACGCTACTACACTATACACTACTGTACACTATACACTACTATACACTACACTACTATACACTACTACACTATACATACACTACTATACACTACTAAACTATACACTACACTACTATACACTACACTACTATACACTACACTACTATACAGTACACTACTATACAGTACACTACTACACACTACACTACACTACTATACACTACACTATACACTACACTACTAAACTATACACTACACTATACACTACACTACTATACACTACTATACACTATACACTACTATAGACTACACTATACACTACACTACACACTACACTATACACTACTACACTATACACTACACTACTATACACTATACACTACTATAGACTACACTATACACTACACTACACACTACACTATACACTACTACACTATACACTACACTACTATACACTACACTACTATACACTACACTACTATACACTACACTACTAAACTATACACTACACTATACACTACACTACTATGCACTACTATAAACTATACACTACTATAGACTACACTATACACTACACTATACACTACACTACTATACACTACACTACTATACACTACACTACTATACACTACACTATACACTACACTACTAAACTATACACTACACTATACACTACACTACTATACACTACTATACACTATACACTACTATAGACTACACTATACACTACACTATACACTGCTACACTATACACTACACTACTATACACTACACTACTATACACTATACACTACTATACACTACTACACTATATACTACTACACTATACACTACACTACTATACACTACACTACTATACACTACACTACTATACACTACTATACACAGACTGTAGCTCTTCCTGGGGAATTCCCAAGATGGCGTGTCCTGGGCCGGCCCCGGGGTCTTCTCCCAGTGGGACGTTGCTGCTGCTGCCCCGTAGAGTTCCAGGGGGAGTCTACCAGGGGGGGCATCCTTACCAGGTGACCGAACCACCTCAAATGGCTCCTCTCGACTCAGGCACACGTAGAAAAAAAAAAATATTCCAATATTTGTTTTTGTGTGTGTGTGTGCTTATGTTGGCAAAGTTCCAGCTCTGAGAATGAAATGAATGCAATACGTCTTGACGTCTCTCTTGTGACGGGGTGACTTGTGTTTTTTGAAGGTTTTCTCAGAAGTAGGCCTCCTCTGGTGACCCCTTCTGCGGCCCGTACTTTCCTGCAAGAAAGGCTTCCCGGTCGACGCGTTGTTGCTTGCCCACGCCTACGTGCATCATAGCACGGTTGCAATCAAATCGGGGAAGATCCGAAAAACGTAAGGGCGCCAGGCATTGCACGATCAAAAAGCGCCCCCGCCTTGCCCAGACCACCAGCGCAGTGGAACTGAACGCGTGGCCACGCCGTCGTCGTCGTCGTCACGATGGGTTTTCTCGCCGTTCGCGGACGTGAATCATCGTTTAATCCCGCGAGTGAATATAAAGTGCCTGCTGTGGCGCGTGGATTGTGAACATTAAGACATCGACAAGGAGAGTTGGGAACGGCGATGAAGAAAACGGCGTGCGAGGAGGCGCTGCTCGGATTAACGCGTCGCATGATCGTGAGAGAGTAGGCAGCAGCTTGATTGGGGTGGGGGGGGCTGGGGGGGGGCTGGGGGGGGGCTGGGGGGGGGGGAAGCCTTCATCCAGCAGTGGGTTGACCCTGGCTGATGATGATGATGGTGAGGGTGAGAAGTGGTGTGAGACGTTAAAATGCAAATGTGTGGGGTTGTGAGGAGGATAAGAAGTCGGCAGGACCTTTATTATGAAGTTAAATAACTCTCTGTACGAGAGAGAGAGCGAGAGAGATCAGAATTCGTGTTAAGAAGTGAATGTCTAAAGCTGGAGTCGTGCTGATTACTACCGTAAGGGTCACGCGTTTGAACTCTGAACAAAGCAACTGAAAAATAGAGCCTTCTGGATTTTTGGGTACGGGTGACCGCATGAATACGGTGCTACGAGCGATTAATTTAATGGAACGTTGGTTTAAGATCCTTGGAAATTTTAAGCAGAACGTGGCAGGGAAGCACGGTGTGCAGTCGTATTAGATGGTGTGAGGAGCGTACGAGGCTGTTCCACATGGAGAAATCGTTTGCGAGAACATGTCTGCGCATGATTTTTGGTTAGCACGTGAGCTCTATTGGGAAATGTTTTTATTGCCCGTGCCATTGCGAAAACACGAACCGCACCAACAACGGCTTTGCCAAAAAAAACCGACGCGCTTGAGACGGTCAGAAGCCCGGCCTGATAGAGGATTGGGGTTAAAGGTGGCATGTTCCGAATGTCGTAGATTTATGCACAGCGGTTCCTCGTTTAACCGAGGTAGATGTGTTCCTGCAAAGTGGCGCGTTAAGCGATTTCCCCCCCCCCCCCCCCCCATGACAAATAATGTTAATGATAAAGTTTGGCGTGTTTGGCGAGATATACGGTGTACTACCACTCACACACGGTGAGATGGCGGGGACACAGAACTGAGATGAGGGTTGCGCCGCCTCGTTACCGTACAATTCCGCGTACCGTATCACCGTACCGTCAGCCGCGCAGCTCGAGAAAGTAGTTCGTCGTCAACCGCTCAGAAACCGCGTTCTAGCGGCGAGCGGTAAAAGCGTTCCTTTACGGAACAACCGTGTCTGAGCGAAAACGCGTTACGGTGTGAACACGCATTAAGCGAGGGACTTACCATACATACAAGGCGAACCGCTTATAGATATCCCACTGAAATATTGGCGAGAAATTATCGCGCAAAACAAGCAATTCATTTCAAAGCCTCCACAGCCCATCTTCCACCAATCTCAATGCACACATGAACGTCTGTTAATGCTCCCATTCACGTGAGAGACGTTTCGACATGATCGCCCATTCTTCAAATGCCTTAATTAATACGTAGCCGTCTCTGCCGCGATATCCAATCGCCGTTTGAGAATAACATTATATAATTCGCTGTGTTAACTCAATAATCGCATCACCCTGTTTTTTAGAATTGCTACTTTGCATAATGTGCCATGACATTGAAAAGCCGTTCTCCTGTCTGACAGACGCCCTATTATCCAATACTTTTATCAATAATATCGGGGTTTTTTTGGTTAGATCGCGTAAATTTCAATGTGCCGTTAAACCCGCCACCACCCGACACAGCCAATTAGTAAGGTTTGTCGTGTAAACAAAACGTGGCCAATTCGTTACGAGTGCAGCACACCGGTGTATTTGGAGAGTAAACCCACAACAACATTTACAATTCGGGCACCGTGACGTTTCGCCACTAATTACCACAACCAGCATCATCAGGCGATAGCTAGAATTGTTGAGTGGTGGCGGGTTTAACGACACATTTGTATTGACACGACCTAACCCGAAAAAACCTCTTGTGGATAATATTGATCACGAAAGGCTACATGTTTATTATCCGTGCCTCCAATTAGATCCGCACTATATTCTGTTTCATCCATGCATCGGTGTTTTTCCTGCTATCTGCGCTTATCCAGCAAATAAGAGGAGCCACCCGGAAGTGGCGGTACATTTGTCCTGTAATCCCTGCTAATCCACGAGTAATTATCGTGGAAGCGCCGAATTGACCTCGTTATCCGAGCCACTGCGCTCATGACCCAGAATTAGCCGCAAATGAATTCTATTACCGTGTTTAACTGTGCGGCTATACGGAATAGTTTTCGCGGATCTTCCATAGTTTGCCATATACAGGGACTAATCTTTTTATGAACATTCGACTTACAAACTTTCAGAGATACGAACAAACCTGTCCATATGTCCAGTTGCCTGTTCGGACCGAGAGTCGTAAGTTCAACCGCCGCGCAATAGATGGAGGTGGTGGCATCTACATCTGCAGAACGTGAAGAACCAGTGGCATCTACATCTACAGGAGGTTAAACAAATTTTAAAGCCATTCCCCGTTTTTAGTGTCCATGCAATACAACGTGTTTGGAATCGCCAGGAGTAAAGTTGGGCTTGCGAACAAATCGACTTACGAACAGACCTCTGGAACCTAACTAATTCGTAAGTAGAGGTTTCCCTGTGCAACGAATGGTCACGGACTCTCTCCGCATTCTGCGGATAATTCTGTGGATAGCGTGGAATTTCTCTGCGTAGCATATTTGCGAGTCGACTCGCGTAATTGTTTCATTCATTCGTTTATCACTTTCACCGTGTGTATGTGTGTGTCCCTCCCCCCCCCACACAACTCCCCATGCAGGTGCACAGTTGCCGTGGATGATGTCATTTCCTCTGGACGCAGTCATGCTGTCAGCCACCCAGATTTACATCATTCTCATGGTGCACATCACAGCCTTCCTCAACTTCTGCCCGGCCAGCGGTTTCATCATCGCGGTGAGGCTTGGGGTGACTTTGGTGGCGGGGCGGGCGGGCGGGCCGTCGGTCGCGCAGGAAGCCGCGTTCACGAATGCCGCGACTTCCCAACTACAGCTGCGACATTTAGATTGTTGTCCTTCCCCCGCACCTCCGAATGGCACGGTTGGATACGTACGGCGTGAAAGAAGTTCTACATAAATACATAGGCTTACACGGAGACCCATAGAGTCACGCAGAGACCCACAGTTTGTTGTCCTTCCCCCGCACCTGCCATTCGCACGGTTGGCTACGTACGGTGCGAAAGAAGTTCAACGTACGTACAGGTCATTCGGTCGATACATCGACTGAAAATTTGTGATCGACTGCTTTCTGTGGTCGATTACTCGGGGCTTCTGTTTTGGTCACCCTGCATTTGTGTGTGTGTGTATGGTGAACTTCTTTCGCACCGTACATAAGCCAACCGTGCTAATTGGAAGGACAACAAACTAAACACAAAAAGCAGTTCTCAAGATATGAGTTTTCAGTCTAGATTTGAAAGTGCATAGCTCCGGTGGCTTCCCAAGATGTGGTATAATTTCAAAAGCGAAATTTTATGAAGACTCACTCAAACCCCCCCCCCACCACCGCCCGCCCCCTCCAAAAAATAAAAAGAATACCCTTGAGGAAGATTACGTGGAGCTATCTCTTCAACAGCGTGGTCAGAATTAACATCATTTAGTCAGCTGCGTCTTATATACGCGGCCAAGCTGTGTGTGTCTGTGCAATGGAACTCCACCCGGGCCGGTGCCCCAATTTCAGCGAATGATGCGTCACGTGCAAGCTTTACGATGCGTTGTTTTGTGGGTACAAGGTCGAAATTATGTAGACATTTTTTTTTTTTACCCGATAATTCGGGTTTTATAGGTCCCGGCAATGCTTGTCCGCTCTGCCGGTTACAACAGCCATGGCACGCTGTGCCAGAGCCCCTTTGCAAAATCGTACAACGCGCCGGGTAAGCGTGTGCCATCGAGGAGGGGGGTGCGTGTCTTGTGTGTGTGTGTGCCGGGAGGATACTCTCGTAAAAGTGTTTGTGTGTCATGTTCGAGTTTCTGCTTCTGCAGAAATCGCTAAAGTATTAACACGTGTGTTTGGTCTCGACGAAAGCGCAATGACTGCCGGTTAGTTAGAGGACGTTATAAACTTGTTTTTCTGACCGCAGAGGTTATTGAAATCAATACGCCCCGTGAGTTTTGAAGTTATTCAACTTCAAAGTTCATGACGAACGGCCCTTTGCGCGCACGCGAATTGTAAAATCAAGTCATTAATTCCGGAAACGTTTCTGTGTAACTGCTGTCTGTTGTATCTGACTCATCCCATCCGGAGACAGGCCTCTTGTTTTTACAGCTGGGGGATACCCCGTTACTTCACTCATCGACGACTCTACCAAGTTTCAGTTCCATTACTTAACTAATCGACGACTCCACCGATTTTCACTTCCATTACCCCACTAACCAACACGTTGGGGACATATCACCTCCATTCCGCATGTGCCGCCAGACGGGAGGTGACAGGCCGGGAGCCTGGTGACGTCATTGGCATTGGCTGGGGCGCCGCTTATCTGGGTTTCCCCGCTTTCGGGAGGCATCTTTGTGGGCCTATCTGGCATGTTTGGAGACAGCTGCGCGTGGTGGTTTCTGCCCTGTCTTTTTTTGCCCAGTGCCTGGAGCCGCAGTGGCATTTCAACGGCGCGGTGAGTCCCACGTTGTAACCGCGAATTGTAATCTGTCGCCGGCAGACGCGGGACAACTACTCGACAATGTTCGATGACCGCCTCTCCTCCTTCGGCAATCAGCTGCCCGAGCAAGGCCTCAAGGTTGGTGTGCAGAGAGCCGCCTCGATGCTCTCCGCTCTCACGATTGTGCCTTTTTGCGTGCACATAAGCAAATAGATCCGTTCAGTTTTTATTTTGTTGACAGACGGGAAACCAGTGCAACGTTTTTTTTTTTTTACCGAGTCGTTTGCCCCGAATTGCGACGCTCCGCCAACGTTTAGTTTTCACGCGTACCGGCTGAAATGTTTTTATTTGATGGTGTTTGGTTTTTTGTTTGTTTTACACTCTGGCTTTCGCCGACCTGCGTTATATAAATCACAGTTGATTTTTGGGGTCAGATCGCACGAGTGAAAAAATAAACGCGTGTCGCAAGCCTGGCAGGTGCCCGATGACGCCGGCTTGTAACGATCGGCGTAACGTCCGCGCCCAGTTGTTAAACGCGCGAGTGGATCGCTCTCCAGCAACGCACACACCGGTGATGCTGCTGAAGCGGTCGATACATTGGCGCACTCCATCACGTGACACCTTCATTTAATTGGCGGTGTCGGGTGGAGGAGGGTTTTTTGTTGTTGTTTTCATTTGAACTTTTGGTACATTTTGTGTCTTGTCACCCTGTTTGCGCCCGACTCTTTTTGCCGGGCGGCGGTGGCGGCGCACGCCGGTAATGCCACAGTGACGTAGGCAGCGAGGGTTGGTGGATCGCGCGAGGTTTTGAAACTTCAATTTCCGTGGTCGTCGGGATTCCATATTTCCTGGCTCGCCGGGCAGAAGGCGGTAGAGCAAGGACTCCCATCAGTTACATATTTACGTGATATAGTCTTGCAACCCTTGCTCAACGCGTGCTTTTTTTTTCCCCGGGTTGTCCGATTTCCTCCCACATGTAAACAGAATCAGAACATTTTATTTATGCCGGAGGCATCCGATGAGCTATAAAGCTCTTTTTCACAGATGGCCAGTCGGGGCACAGGGCATCAACGTTAAAACAACAAACATTTACAAAAACATGACAGTCGTGCATAGTACGAGAAAGGTCAACAAATCACCCAAACGCGTACAAATACAACTAAACCATCCCCATCCTACCAGGCAAAGCCCACTGAGGTCTTCACTTATCTTTCAGAAGCGACCTCGCCACAAATGTTACCGCAACAAAGTGACCCATCATTTTGACATTCATAAGCAGCAAAATTATCTCATAATCGCAGTGCATGTTTCTAAATTTGGAGGGAAAAGCCAGAAGACCCGGAGAAAAATTTCACCACGACCACGGGGAGAGAGACACGCAAACTCCAAATATACAGGCGTCAGGGTCGGGATCGAACCCACGACCTCTCGCATGCCGCAAATGACGGCTCGGCAAAGTGGCCCGTCATTTGGACATTTATAAGCACCAAGATAATCGAAATAATCTGAATGCATGTTAAGAGATATTTTTTAGAGGACGGCAGAGCTTGGGAGGAATTCGACGCCGGCTCACCGCCGGGGTGCCGCCTTTGCCGCTCGTCCGTTTGGTTCCTCCTCGCGCCTCCACAAGTCGGCCGGCTGCGCGTCACGAGACAGAATCGTTCTCTAACGCTTCGCGTTTCTCCGTGACGCACCGGGAGATGCGGTTGCTCCTCGACGCTGCGTGGATGTAAACGATGTTGGATTTTGTGCGCGCGCATTGCCAGACGACGTGACGACGGTTCCCGCTCTTGACAGCGGAATATTTGCTTCAGTCCAGCTTTTGTTTGGAATGTCACCACGGCTGTCAATCACATACAGGGACTCCTTTACTTACTAACATTGGACTTACAGAGGAGGGAAAAAAAGTATTTGATCCCCCGACTGATTTTGTACGTTTACCCCACTGACGAAGAAATGATCAGTCTCATAATAAAGGTTTTTGGGTTAGATCGCGTTTATTTATAAATGTGTCGTAACCCTCCACCACCCGACACGGCCAATAATATTGGTCGCGAAAGCCTACGTGTTAAACCAAATGATCAGTCTATAATTTTAATGGTAGGTTTATTTGAACAGTGAGAGACAGAGTAACAACAACAAAATCCAGAAAAACGCATGTCAAAGATGTTATAAATTGATTTGCATTTTAATGAGGGAAATAAGTATTTGACCCCCTCTCAATCAGAAAGATTTCTGGCTCCCAGGTGTCTTTTATACAGGTAATGAGCTGAGATTAGGAGCACACTCTTAGAGGGAGTGCTCCTAATCTCAGCTTGTTACCTGTATAAAGACACCTGTCCACAGAAGCAATCAATCAATCAGATTCCAAACTCTCCACCATGGCCAAGACCAAAGAGCTCTCCAAGGATGTCAGGGGCAAGATTGTAGACCTACACAAAGCTGGAATGGGCTACAAGACCATTGCCAAGCAGCTTGGTGAGAAAGTGACAACAGTTGGTGCAATTATTCGCAAATGGAAGAAACACAAAAGAACTGTCAATCTCCCTCGGCATGGGGCTTCATGCAAGATCTCACCTCGTTGAGTTGCAATGATCATGAGAACGGTGAGGAATCAGCCCAGAACTACACGGAAGGATCTTGTCAATGATCTCAAGGCAGTGGGGACCATAGTCACCAAGAAAACAATTGGTAACACACTACGCCGTGAAGGACTGAAATCCTGCAGCGCCCGCAAGGTCCTCCTGCTCAAGAATGCTCATATACATGCCCTTCTGAAGTTTTCAAATTAACATCTGAATGATTCAGAGGACAACTGGGTGAAAGTGTTGTGGTCAGATGAGACCAAAATGGAGCTCTTTGGCATCAACTCAACTCGCCGTGTTTATAGGAGGAGGAATGCTGCCTATGACCCCAAGAACACCATCCCCACAGTCAAACATGGAGGTGGAAACATTATGCTTTGGGGGTGTTTTTCTGCTAAGGGGACAGGACAACTTCACCGCATCAAAGGGACGATGGACGGGGCCATGTACCGTCAAATCTTGGGTAAGAACCTCCTTCCCTCGGCCAGGGCATTGAAAATGGGTCGTGGATGGGTATTCCAGCATGACAATGACCCAAAACACACGGCCAAGGCAACAAAGGAGTGGATCAAGAAGAAGCACATTAAGGTCCTGGAGTGGCCTAGCCAGTCTCCAGACCTTAATCCCATAGAAAATCTGTGGAGGGAGCTGAAGGTTCGAGTTGCCAAACGTCAGCCTCGAAACCTTAATGACTTGGAGAAGATCTGCAAAGAGGAGTGGGACAAAATCCCTCCTGAGATATGTGCAAACGTGGTGGCCAACTACAAGAAACATCTAACCTCTGTGATTGCCAACAAGGGTTTTGCCACCAAGTACTAAGTCATCTTTTGCAGAGGGGTCAAATACTTATTTCCCTCATTAAAATGCAAATCAATTTATAACATTTTTGACATGCGTTTTTCTGGATGTTTGTGTTGTTATTCTGTCTCTCACTATTCAAATAAACCTACCATTAGAATTATAGACTGATCATTTCTTTGTCAGTGGGCAAACGTACAAAATCAGCAGGGGATCAAATACTTTTTTCCCTCACTGTACGAACTTTCAGAGATACGAACAAACCTGTCCACATGTCCAGTTTTCTGTTCAGACTGGGCGTCGTAAGTTCAACCGTCGTACAATTGGTGATGGTGGTGGCATCTACATCTGCAGAATGTGAAGAACCAGTGGCAATCTAAGTCGACAGAATGTGAAGAACCAGTGGCATCTACATCTGCAGAACATGAAGAACCAGTGGCATCTACATCTGCAGAACGTGAAGAACCAGTGGCATCTACAGAACGTGAAGAACCAACAGTATCTACATCTGCAGAACGTGAAGAACCAGTGGCATCTACATCTGAAGAACGTGAAGAACCAGTGGCATCTACATCTGCAGAACGTGAAGAACCATTGGCATCTACATCTGCAGAACGTGAAGAACCAACGGTATCTACATCTGCAGAACGTGAAGAACCATTGGCATCTAAATCTGCAGAACGTGAAGAACTAGTGGCATCTACATCTGCAGAACTTGAAGAACCAGTGGCATCTACATCTACAGGAGATTATGCAACTTTCAAAGCCATTCCCCGTGTTTAGTGTACATGCCGTACAACGTGCTTGGAATCGACGGGAGTAAAGTTGGACTTACGAACAGACCTCTGGAAGCTAAAACGTTCGTAAGTAGAGGAGTCCCTGTGATAGTTGACGTGTTGACCACACACTCTTAGAGGTCTCGTCACTGTCCCAGCGATACTTCCGTCCCATCCGCAGCGTTCAGCCACCACTAAATAAAAACTTTCCACCGCACTGCGGATCACAACGCTTTACTTCGTGTTTCTTCCCTCGCATTGCTCCGCTTCGGAATTCCCCCCCAACCCCCCCCCTCCCCAACATCGCTTTTTCCAACTTCTTATAACCTTGCTCACATTTTAATAAAAAAAATGCGCTGGACTCATCCATGACAACTTTAATAGCACTGCACACCTCGCTGGCCGCTGGGGGGCGTTTTGAAGCTTTGCTCAGCCACCGTGATGAAAGCAACAAAATCCTGCTAGGGAACAGGATATAACCTACGCCCCTCTTCACAAACTCAACACATTCGTCACTAACGCCGTCTTAGAAGGGAAGATTTACGTTTTGGGGGCGCAGTGCCCTTTCGCCACGTGCTATTAATAAGGTCCGTTAACCCTTGTGCCACTCCGATGAGTTACGTCTATTTCATCGGTACCGAGGCTCCCACAGTGCCGTGCAGGAGGGCCGTGCGTGGCACAGTTTGGCGCCAGATATCGTAGAGCGCGGTTGTATCGCTTCGGTTCTCTGCGGTGAGCACAACGTCTTTAAAAAACGGTAGTGCTACTCCGCCTCTCTAAATAATTCACGCTGAACCGCTCGCGCGTTCCGAGATTGAGCGGTGAACGGGACACCACCCACCCTGCAACTTGCAGACGTCTCGGAATGGTAAAGGGTTAATTCGGCTCGTGCACCACTGCCAACGCAGCATCACCGGGTTCCATTCCGACCGTAACGCCTGTAGATTAGCACAATTGGCTATGTAATGGCGCGAAAGAAGTTCAACATCCCTAGACTCGCACAGAGATCCATAGACTCACACAGAGACACATAGACTCGCACAGAGACTCCACAGACTCGCACAGAGACCCATAGACTCACACAGAGACCCATAGACTCACACAGAGACCCATAGACTCGCACAGAGACCCATAGACTCACACAGAGACCCACAGACTCGCGCAGAGACACATAGACTCGCACAGAGACTCCACAGACTCGCACAGAGACCCATAGACTCACACAGAGACCCATAGACTCGCACAGAGACCCATAGACTGTTGTCCTTCCCCCCAACACCTCCGATTAGTGCGGTCGGCTACGTAAGGATCACGAAAGAAGTTAAGTAGAAACCTTGCCGTGCAAAAACAAGTCGCCTCGCTGGTCGCTCAGGAGCACGGAGGGCACCTCACCTCTAAGGGGCGCTGTAGCTCCATGTTCTCTGCCCTCCCCAGCTCGAGACGGAGTGACGTCCCTGCCCGGAGCTTGCAGAGGGGGGTGGGTGGAGGGAGGTTTGGCCCTTATTTGGCGACGTTAAGACGTTGGCAGGCGTGCTAAGTGGGACTCAAGAAACTGAGAGAGAGCGAGGAGAAAAGCCACACACTCCTCCCCCCACCATTGAATGAGCGGCCATGGAAGTAATTATGCAGCGAAAGTGTGACGCACGCAATGCCGTGTGTGTGCGCGCGTGTGAAGCGAGCTCGTCGCTATTTTAACATCTCGTGAAATAAAATATATGAAGGAATAATAATTATAATGGACAGCTCTTTGTCATTTTATTGATAAGCCCTCCGCTGGAGGGAGCTCTAGAAAGCCCCACTCGTGACTAGTTTGGCCTACACTTCCACGCTGGACAGTTTTGCTTTTGAAGAGGTGGGAGTGCGCACACTTTACGCCACCACACGCTAGCTGCGGTGCAAACATTTTGTCCTGCTGGCTGGACAAGAGGTGGTGTGGGGTGGTAGAAGCGGATTTAAGAAACGTTCCCCTTTGTTTTAAATGCCGTCGCGGGATTGCAAATCCGTTGTGCCCACCGCACAGGATGGCAGATTCCCCAGACTTGTTTAAGTAAGCGTGACGATAGCATTCTATGCTTCCGTCGCACCCAGAAGCCCACTTTATATGTATATATATACTTTAAAAAGTAGTAATGTCAGTAAATTCACCACGCATTTCAATGTTGCGATTGGTTGAGTGATCGCATTCACCAATCTTCGTCTCGCTGAACGGATAGTTTCAGCTCGGTCCTGTCACCGCGCCGGCCTAGCCCCCACCGTGAGTGATGGGTGGTGCCAAAGCCCCCCACACACACACACACGGACGTCTGCGGGAATTCAAGTGGGGTCTTGCCTCCTCCTCCTACGCTGCCTCAACCTCCCACCACGACCCCACACTCCCACACGCCACTGCAGCGCCACCCCGAGCCCCAGCAACATTCACACGTACAGACAAAGCCCTTTTGGCAGTCCACACTGCTCTATCTTGGCCTCTTCATCAACACGTGGTACCCCCGGTGTTGTTTGGAGCATATATCATCACGCTGGTCAGTGCGGGTTAGTACTACTACTACTATTCTACCAGGTAGGGTCCACTGAGCTTTTTAGCTCTTTTTGACAAGCGACCTGGCCACAGATGATAGCTTAACGAGGTGGCTCGTCATCATGTGGAAATTGAATGCAGCCAAATACTCTAAATGCACGTTGAGTCTGAATGTGGAGGGGAAAAGCGGAGGACCCGGAGAAGTAATCCACGCGACTACGGGGAGAGAGAGAGACGTGCAAACTCCAGGCATACAGGCGTCAGGGGCGGGATCGAACCCACGATCCTCCAGTACACCAGGTGAGCTAGTTAACATCTCACCACGGAGAGAGAGAGACACGCAAATTCCAAATATACAACAGGCGTCAGGGTCGGGATCGAACCCACGACCTCCTGTATACCAGGCGAGGTGGTTAACATCGGTGAAGACGGGATGTCCACGGCCGGTTCAGATATGTCACTCGCCACTGATGTTAGCCACGGGCGGGAATCTAACTGAGGTCACTGGGTTCATTAGCGCATTGGTCCACCACCCTACTGTATAGTCCTTGCACTTGCCCAAACCGTTCTTGAATCCATCCATTCACCAGCCCTTCCACACACACACCATATGAAGTGAATCTCTTTGTTTTCATGGCATTGGTGTCAATCCACTGCCGCAAGGCGGCCTCCCGACGCCGTGCGGGCCGTGCGGATTATTTGAGCGCACTTCACCGCGCTGGTCCCGGTGCGTGTTTCGGCGAAGGCGGGTCGCGTGGATGTGGGAGCGTGGAAGTGCAGTGAAACTGTGGATCTCTTTTGCGCTGCCCTCGGGCTGCGTTAAACCCCACCACCTCGACGTCGCCCCACAGCGGCGGCCTAGAACGACCTGCCGTGGACGGCGGGTCGCCCATCTACGCGCTGTCGAGGCTTGACCCTGCCTAGCTTTCCGAGGTCTGGTGAGATTGAGCACGTTCCGGGCGATTTTGGTCAGCCAAGACCATTTGCCGCCGCTCGTTTTCAGAAAGCCCCTCCGTGGAATGTTGGGCAATATTTTTTGTGCGTGTTTTTTTTTTCTATGTTTGTGTGACTGCATTTGCCTTAGTTTCCCCACCCGTAAGAAGGGAAAAAACAAATTTTACACCGACAGCTTCAGAAGCCCACTTGATGATAGTGCCTTCTCTTTGACGCCTAGCCACCCCTCCAGGCTTCTTGGCTTACGTAAAAAGATGATTCCCATCTGTGTGTGTGACCCACCAACTCTTCCTCCCGAGTAGAAAATGTAGTCATCTAATTCTTCTTCTCTCGACCGGCTGATTCCAATTTCACATTCAGGTGGTCAAGCCAGATAAGCGTGCCAGGCGTAGCGGAGTAGTGTATGCCATTATACAGATAGTCCCCGACTTACGTTTGTCCGACTTACGATATTTTGATCTTACGATGGCGATACAACAAAATTGTAAAATATTTTTAATTTCGCGCGGCAGGCAAACGCAGCAGCGAACGATACGTTCAATGCATGTATGATAAGTAGCTTTAGCGATTTCTTTTCAGGGTTACCACGATACGATACTTCAATGCATCTTAAAAGTTTTTATAGCAGATAGGATTGTTTCCTAAAAAACTTTCTCTTAAATTGCAAGTTCATATAGGTAGGCTAAGAATTTACCTTGTTTTTTTTACTTTACATTTTACTGTGCAATACAGTATTGTAATTAATAAATACATACAGTATATAGTTTATACAGTACGGTACTGTAAATCGCTCTGTTTTGCTAAATTATCACCATTCTTTAAGACTCCTGGGTTGGCTAAGGCCACCTTCGACTTAAGATATTTTTGACTTACGATGGGGTCGTCAGAACGCATCTCCATCGTAAGTAGAGGACTACCAGGTACATTGTACGGTCTGTTCTGGATGACCACAGTCGCACACCACTGGGAGAGTTTTTAATCAGCTTCACGGGTAGCTCGAACAAAAGCCACCGTGAAACATTCGATTAGAAGGTTTTTTTTGTATCTATCAGAGACGCGTTCAATTTAGTGGTGGCGTTCCGTGTGCCTGCGCCCTCCCCCCTTCCCCTAGGGTTACCTGGTGCCCGTGCAACCGGAAGAGGAAGGGTGCCACATTCTGAGCCCTCCGCCCAAGAAGCACAACGCCACCTACTTCATAGCCCTCATCCGCAGGGGCGGCTGCAACTTTGATGTCAAGGTCGGTCTCCCGGTGGTTGGTGGCCACGGTGGCCTCGGTGAAATCCTTTGGTTGGTCGATGTTGAGAGCGACGACGGCTGATGCAGGTGACGGAGAGGTGGCCGAGGGAGAGAAACGCGTCCCAGGAAGGGGGGGGCGGCCGCCGCGGAGACGGAGCGATGGAATTAGTTCGTGTTTTCGTGTGCAGGAGTGGGATGGACTGTCGCAGCACCGGACCGACGGGCATGGGGGGGGGTGGGTGGAGGCTTTCATCCAGCAGTGGATAGACAACAAGTGCCGCTGATGGTGATAATTACGAACGTGGACCAGATTATCATCTGGGCAGAATGGCAAACCACATCGTTATTATGACTTTTATAATCCACGGTCATTCCACTGCTGGATGAAGGCCTCCGAGACATCGCCATCTCGCGCGGAGTTCAGTCGAGTAACAACCCGTTTAATGCGCGCACACGAGCTGAATCAGCCCCGTCTAACTCGGCTCGTCTCCCGCGGTGGACGTCCCTCGGGCCGTGAGTCCATCTTTCGACTGCCACTCCTTCCCGAGTCGAGCCCAGTGTTTCTCAAACTCGTTTCGCCCCGCGGATCGCTCGCCCGATGTGAACATTCCCGCAGGCTGCCCGAGCCCCCCCCCCCCGCCCCCAAGGCCCCTGGTGGTGACAAGACGCATTCACCCCTCTCTCTCTCTAAATGATGCCAGTGATGCACAAAAATGATTCATATTACCAGAACATTAAAGCGTTTTTATTTATTTAACGCAGCTATCAGGTTTTCTTTTTTTAGGGGAGGGGCGGGGTGTGGGGCCATTTAGATGTTAGGGTATTTGAATTATGGGAAACATCATATGTAACAAAAAATATTAATGAATGTCCGAAACCAAGGGTCATTATCGTCGGGATCCGCTGCGTTTGCATCGCAGCCACCGCGGGACCACCTGGTGGAGCGTCTCGGACCACTTGGCGGTCGCGAGGACCGCGCTCTTGAGAACCGCTGGGCTAGATGGCCCCACCGGCCAGCGTCCACGCTCACGACGCGTCCTGCCCCACGGGCCCCGTTTGCGCTTCTTCGCAGTCATCGTGATGTCTCTCTGATTGTGCGCACGTTCACGAATCCGTGCGTTCCTCAGTGCGTCTGTCGGTGGAATTCCAAGCTTGGCACCTCTCCACGCTTCTTTCGCGCACCCTCCAGCCTCTGTTGCATTTTCTTCGTCAACCCGCGTGTGCCACGGTGGCGAGATGTTAACTGGCTCGCCGGGTATACAGGAGGTCGTCGTGGGTTGGATCCCGACCCTGACGCGTGTGTATTTGGAGCTTGCATGTTCCGCCCCGTGGTCGCGTGGATTTTTCTCCGAGTCCTCCCGTTTTGTCCCTCCACATTTAGAAACATGCCGTTGAGAGTATTTGGCTGCTATAAATTTCCACGTGATAATGCCACTTCGTTGAGCTATCATTTGTGGCCCGGTCGCTTCTGAAAAAGAGCTACTATAGCTCAGTGCTCAGTGGGGGGTGGGGTTAAAGTTCGGACATGGTGCCAAACAACGCAGAGTGGGGTGCAATCCCTCCTGAGGTTCACAGCTCATCGGATTCCTCCAGGATAAATACATATTCTGAATCGTAAAAAACATGCACAGTGGTGAAAGTAAAGTGGAGCCCCGAAGAATGTTAACAGGTGCCTCCAGCTACTGCTCCCCCATCCTCCCCTCCATCACCACTTCCCCCTAGCCCCCTCCCCGCCCCACAAAAGACAAAGATCCCCCGCACAGCCTTAACAGACTGTTGGGGCAAGTGCCGTTAGCAAGCAGCACCTGTGAAGGCCGGCACCGCACACGAGGGCGTGGGTGGCCAGCACCACGCCCGTCTGCCTTTTGTCTCCCCGGTGGCGACGACTTTACGCACCGCACCGGGTACTCATTTGAGGCCGAGTCGACCTAGGGGATGCCCAGGACCGATTCAGATGATCGTCACCGCGTGTTGGTGGCCGTGAGCGGGAATCGAACCCGGTCCGCTGGGTCCGTAGCACAGCGCGCTAACCGCGACGCTACCGCTCCTACGCCACCCCCACAGCCACACACACACACATGCGCGCTTATCCGCCACAACAAGCGTGGCACAGGGCCACTGTACACGCGCCCAAGCGGTTTTGTTATGCCAGAGGCACAACCGGTTACACGAGGCAGGGGACCTGACCAAAGTTGACAGATTTGTTTTTCCGTTGCTCCACCGTGGCGGCAGTGAATGGCACGCCCCGGTTTAAGCAGTCGGCACAACCATCCTTGTTACTCGCATCGTCGTCCTCCACACACGTGTGACGAGTGACACGTGTGACGAGTGACACGTGTGACGAGTGACACGTGTGACGAGTGACACGTGTGACGAGTGACACGTGTGACGAGTGACACGCTGATGGTGGTCTAGGGTCTAGTGCATGGGTCGGCGACCAAAATATCAAGGAGAGACGTTTTTTTTCGAATTCGCAACAAACAAACAAAAAACACCACCCCTCAATATTTCAAGAGCCGCAATGCAACGCGGTAAATACGAGACGGTGGTGCTCCTTAATGAAATGACGTCACAGGAAGCGGTCCTTGAAGAGCCCCGCCGCGTGTGGCTCCGTAGCCGCAGGTTGCCCGCCCCTGCCCGACTTTGTGGTTAGGGTCGGGCGCTCTCACCGCGGCGGCACGGGCTCGAATCCCAGGGAACGAGTCTTCCCCCGCACCTCCGCCGAGCGCGTTTGGCTACGTACGGCGCGAAAGACGACTCCCTTGCATGACTCCGAGCCCCACGTGTTCCACCGGCGGTACAGCAGGGGAGGGGTCTTGCCGAGAAACCCGCCGACCTGGCTTGTCCCCCTTGCGAGTGTTGTCCGAATTTGACTGTCACCTGCCACCTATTTATTCGCATGCGACAATGATCTTGATAAAATAATGACAACGTACGTTACTAAGGCGCAATAATAACACCGGGAATGTGCCCCACCTCCAGACGGCCGCAGCAGCGCATCTGGCAGCAGTGTGCGAGTCCACGGGTACTGTCTCTCTCTCTCTCTTTCTCTCCGTGTGATGAGTCTATGGGTTTCTGCGCGAGCCTGCGGGGTCTCTGCGAATGTCTGTGCCGCGTTGAACATGGCACAGAACCGCTGCGAATCGGAGGTGCGGATCTGGCGAGTTGAGCGGCATTTTAGTCTGGATGGTGGCGATGGGAATGCACGACAGGTTGTTGCACGACGTGGCTACGTGGCGAGCAGCAGAAGGCTAGCGGGGGAATTGGAACAGCACACGCCGCCCCCCCCCCCTCCTCCCCCCCCATCATGCCTTGCATGCTTGACATGCGATCACCGACATTGCGTGTTCATTGTGCGCTTCTCAGACTCGCCCCCCGCCGCCCCGAGGGTAGCTTGGCAGTACGCGGCGCTGCACTGTACGTCCGCGACACCACACCCGTGCTTCCCGCCTTCACCAGTCTGCACGGGCGAGCGCGGTGAAGTAATAAATCGCCACGACCCGCACGGCGCACGAAGGGGGGGGGGGGGCCCAGCCTCCCTCCCATCATGTCATGTAGCGGTGGATTGAGAAATGGCCATACGCGTGCCAGTCCGTGTGTACGCACGTGTGTACACACGTGTGTACGCACGTGTGTGTGTGTGTGCCGAGCTTCTTCCGCACCGCACGCAGCCAAGCGTGCTCGTTCGGACGACTTAGAAATGTTCCACAGTGCCGTTTTGGGTTTCTTGTTTGGCCAGTAGTTTAAATTTACTTGCCGAGGGTTTTTCTTCCCCCGTAGGAAGACAACGCTACACTGTACTCTGCACTGTACGTACGTCGGTGGTTCTCGTCCTCTTTGGCCTGGCGCCCCCGTGCCCAACAACGGTCACAGGTCCCCGCGCTGCTGCCCGCTGTGCCCCCCCCCCCCCACTCCTCCACTGGCCCCCCCGCAAATTACTAAAGGCACTGCAAGATCCGACCGCGTCCGTCCAGTGCTCGCCAAGCTGCATTGGCTTCCGCTTGCCGTACGAACAACGCCGTCGTTAGGTCGCGATCGTTCCAGACGCAAAGTGCCTCTTGCCACAAATGAGCCCCCCACAATGCCTCGCTGATCCCGTCGAAGGAGCGTAAACCATCGTAGCGCGAACTCCGGTCATTCTCGTAGCATCAGCAGCAGCGGCTTTTGGCTGCTGGCCATCGAAAAAAGACGGCGCCTGCATCGCGCGCGGCGCTTTTGGATGCGCTTCTGCGGCCGTCTGGAACGCTCTTTCTTCAGATATTAGGAAGCCACTGGGACCTATGATGCGCTTGTAAGTCATCATCTGGGTTGAAAACGAATTTCTTTAGAACCGCTTTTTTGCGTGCTTACTTTGTTGTCCTTACCCCGCACCGCCAATTAGCACGGTTGGCAACCTGGCAACATACGGCGTGAAATGAGCTATACATACATACACACAAGGCCTCAAGACTACACGGAGGATCACATGAGCACACCTCATGTCAACGCAGCAGCATTTAGAAAGACACCCATTTCATGCTGTGCACAAGCTTGTTTTGTAGCCGAAACTATAGAGCTGACGTTTGCTGGCACGCATTCAAAAATGTTCCTGCACTGTATCCATGCCCCCCCTCCATTCCCGTCCCCCAAGGGCATCGAGAACTACTGGTATGATTTTTTACTATTTTTTTACACGCTTTCTTTTAACTCGCTCTGTTGTTGTCGTATCCTCAAATCTTGTAACTCAATTTTGACCCACTTCCCAATGTGGCATCTACGGGAAACTTGGAATATTTGTGTCATACTGAGGACAATACTATATTCTATCATAAAAAATACATATGTCTTTTTAAACATTATTTTTTATATGTTATGTTTCGGCTTGGGTCTAATTGTCCACGGTCAACTGACGTTGGCTGTAATTGACCACGGTCCCTTACGTTGTGGCAAGCTTCGGGCCACTTCCTGGAGTCGTGGAGTTCTACCATTACTCGTACATTTCATAAAAGCGTGTTTAATTTTTTTTTTAATATTACTTATTATTTTAACCAACACCGATGGGATTCATGCTTCTGCTGCTGTCGCAATACCAGCAAGGTACCGGCAGGTGTCACCAAATGAGATTTCCCCCGCTCCTCCTCCGCTGCCGGCCGACAACTTCGCTGAAGTTCAGAGTCCGTTTTGGGCCAAAAATTTTAGGCACACATTTTGCGTCTAAAAGGCCGTGAGAGGGATCCAGCTCACCCGCCCAAGCGTGTAATCCTATACGAGCAACTCCCACTGCATCGGAACCGTGGCTGGGTTGGGTGGGGTGGGGGGGGGCGGACGATTGTTAGCGACCGTGAACTTCGTGGGTTTGTATTTACCCTTGGCGATTTGAATAAGAGCCTAGCCGCTTTGCGTGACCCCGTTTAATCCCGTGTGGGTGGACCAATTCCCCGGACAGACCCGTTGGGAGCGAGACTTGGGAGCTTTATGAATGAGCCGGGTATATTTTTTTAAGGATGTACACTTTTGGTTTTGTTAAATGACGTGGGTCTTTGCAATGTCAGACGTGCCTGAAAGTCGCCACGTTTATTGCGCGTCAGCGGCGTACATGTGTTCTCTGCGGCTTACGAGCATGCGACATTATTTTTACATAGCTTGCGGTTAAGATTGTTCAACGTGAATAGATAGGTATATAGGAATATTATCTTTGTAACCAGGCACTGTTGACTGTGCCTCTTTTTTTTCTTTGTCATTCCCGTCATCTTCAGCACTCTTCTTTACAACTCTTTAAGCGGTCCCTAAGGTCTCGCCCCTGCCACCTAATGTACCTCGCCCTCTACCCACATTCCCTCGCTTCAGCTCCGTACTAAACTAAAACAAAGCATTTTTTTTTTTACCAGGTAAGGCCCGCTGAGCTGTGTAGCTATTTTTCAGAACCGACCTGGCCGCAAATCATAGCTCAGCGAAAGTGGCTTATCACGTGGACATTTCTAGCAGCAATGTGCTGTAAACACGTGACGTTGATTCTAAATGGAGAGGGAATAAACCGGAAGAGCCGGAGGAAAAAAAAATCCGCACGATCACGGAGAGAGAGACACCTCAAACTCCAAATATACAGCAGCAGGTGTCGGGACTGGGATAGTACCCACGAGCTCCCGTATACCAGGCGAGGTAGCCAACATCTAGCCACCGTGGCACCAGGCGAGACGATGAAATCAAATAGCGGTGCCCCCCAGACTCATCCTGCGCTTGTCTGTCTTCTCATAAGTGGGCTTTACCTGCTAAAATAAAATAATAGTTTACTTTTTATTTGGGGGGAGGGTAGGGGAGCTGATCCAAAAGGGAAAAGGCCAGGGGGGAGGGGACAAAGAGACAAAGAGAAGGGTTCGGGAGAGAGGGAGGGAGAGAGAGGGAGAGGGAGGGAGGGAGGGAGAGAGGGAGAGAGGGAAGAACTCCAGAGTCATGAAGCTCACACTTGTCGGGGCCCCGTATCTTACACATGAAGGGCCCTATTGTCAGGCGACAGCTGGATGAGGGCCTGCCCATGGCCGTGCGGGTCGCGCGGGGTTATTTGTGAATCCGAGTGAATCGATGCATTGTCGCGCTTCTGATTAAAGAAGAGAGGTTTGTTTTTTTATTCCCCCTCCAGGCGCATTGGTACGTTGCCGTTGCTTTTTTATTTTTTAACTGAGGCTTTTATTTAATAATCATTTTAAAAAAACAAGGACATGAGCAAATGGACGTGTACATGTGCCGCGGTGACGAGATGTTTACTCCCTTGCCTGGTATGCAGGAGGTCCGTGGGTGAGATCCCGACCCTGACGCCTGTATATTTGGTGTTTGCATGTCTCTCCCCTTGGTCGCGTGGATTTTTCTCCGGGTCCCCCCCAGTTTTTCCCTCCACATTTAGAATAATATGTTTAGAGTATTTGGCTGCTGTAAATTTCCACACGCACTGCTTTTTGTGCAATCTTTGGTGATGGGGCTGGCCATTGAACAAAGACGGTGGTCACCGCATCGCGCGCTTTCAGATGCGCTTCTGCGACCGTTGGGAAAGCTCTACCTTCCGATATTAGGAATCCACCGGAGCTATGCACTTTTAAATCTTATATTAAACACTCATTTGTTTAGAACTGCTTTTTGTGTTTAGTTTGTTGTCTGTCCCCCGTACCTCCGACCAGTGTCGTCGGCTACCTACGGTGCGAAAGAAGTTCAACATGCGTACATCAACTCACTACACTTGAGAACTTGGTTAAATCACGGGTGGCGGAAGAAGCGTGGATTCACACCCAAGCTCTTGGCGGTGGGAGCTCGGCTCCGCGTTATGGAAACCCTAACCGGGCCACTCTCCGTCTCTCCCTCTGTCTCTCCCTCCATCTCTCTCTATCGCTCCGTTTCATCCTCCGTCTTATCCTCCGTCTCTCCTTCCATCTCTCCCTCCGTCTCTCCCTCCATCTCTCCGTCTCTCTCTCTCCGTCTCTCTCCCCCTATCTCTCTTCATCTCTCCGTCTCTCTCTCTGTCTCTCCCTCCGTCTCTCTCCATCTCTCCGTCTCCCATCTCTCTCTCTGTCTCCCAACAGGTGCTGCGAGCCCAGGAGGCCGGCTACAAGGCTGCCATCGTGCACAACATCAACTCGGAGCAGCTGGTCACCATGTCATCCGACGACGGTACGCGCCTGCACGCGCTTCCGCTCGTCACCACGCGCGCCCGGGATTAGCGCCGTCTCGCGCGTCGGGAGGAGGGAGCCGTGGGGGGGGTGGGGTAATTGGGGGCGAGGGGGAGGGGAGGGTTTGAGCCACCGGGGTCGGTCTGCTCTCCGCACATGTACACATGCACAGCCCTTTCGACAATCTTACCGCTGGATGAAAGCTTACCGAACGCTGCCTGGGTACTGGGGGGTTATTTGACCATATGTCAATATGCTGAACTTATTTTGTCAAAGCAAATGCCGCTGACAAAGGCAGGCATACCCGGGTATTATGGGTTATGACTGACTAGCAGATGTATGTTGAACTCTTTTCGCACCGTTAATTAGCCAACCGTGCTAATCGGAGGTGCGGGGGGGGGGAAGGATGACAAACTAAACACGAGAAGCAGTTACAGTAGTTTTAAATCTAGATTTACAAGTGCATCGCTCCCAGTGGGTTCCTAATACCGAAAGGAAGAGCATTCCAGATGGTCGCGGGTTAGCGAAGACGTTGGAGCATAGAACTACAGTATAACGATGGATTTTTTCGCACTGTGCACGATGTGGCCCTACAGCACCTGTTACGCACCCACGCTGATCGCCCCACCATACCACTGTCCAGGCTGAAACCGCCGGCTTGGCTTCCATGTGACGTCGTGTCAATGAAGGACTCGGTTAGATACAACCCGGGACGCCACATTGTCGGTCGTGCGATGTATTTAGACATTCTAAATTTGACGTGATCATTTTTAGTTCGGTAGGATTGCTGCAACGGGCCGAAAAGACCCTGAAACTCGGAATACTTTGAGAGCTCCTTATTTAGCAGCGAGCGGTTGCTTAACGAACTTCCCCCATCTACCAAGCCACCTCTCAAGGAGCAGCTGTTTCCTATTTACATTTTTTTTTGGAACGACCCATACCGTCGGGGTGGGTGGTGGGGGGGGTGCTATCAGGCTTTGCGCGTGTCCTCAAGATATTGTCCATAGCTCCTGCTGCTGCCTTGAGTATCGTGAGCTGGGTCAGGGGTTGCGAGGGTGCAAACGTGCGTAGCCTTTTATGGGGTGGATGGGAGCATGCGCGCTCAAACAGCTGTTTAAGCGCACAGCAATGCAACCCGGGGATTATTTTACCAGAAGTTTTTTTTTTTATTGAAGAGGAAAAAGACAAAACTAGGGGGGAAGGTACAGCGTACGGTCAGACGCAGTTGAGTTGGGTGGAACGCGAGGGGGGTACGTGTGTGTATATGTTTAATATTTTTCAGACCGTACGTAGCCAATCGTGCTAATCGGAGGTGCGATGGAGGACAGCAACCTAACACACAAAAATCAGTTTCTAAAGAAATTACTTTTTAATCTAGATGATTTAAAAGTGCATAGCTCCGGGTTCGTGTCCTAATATCGTGAAGGAAGAGCGTTCCAGACGGCCGCAGAAGCGCATCCATAAGTGCCGCGGTGACCATCGTCTTTGTTCGATGGCCAGCCAGAAGTCGCTACGAGCAAGCGTAACGGAGGAACACCAAGAAGCCGAGTTAGGCTCCCACATAGGAGGGTTAATAGTTGTGTACCGATGTATGTTGAACTTACGAGTGGGAGAGACGCAGTGGAAGAGGGGTTGATGCTTTGAGGAGCGGCGTTGTGTGGGGGCAGGCAAATGGAAGGGTGAGCGAGGGTGTGGTTGTGCGAGTTGCGGAGGTCGGGTGACTCCACTGGGCTGGTGGTGGTGGTAATCGGTGAGTGCGTGTCGGTCGAGTGGATATGACTGGTGGGGCAAGTACGAGGAGGGGATGTGTCATCGGTGGGAGAGCGTGGGTGCGCGACGCCTAGCGCGATGTGCGGTGGCGAGCGCCGCAAAGCAACGATCCGTGCAACCCGGGGCGGGATCGTTAAGTCGCGGGGGGCACCATGAAACGCACGTGGAATTGACACTCAAGTTACAGCCGGGACACCGACACAGGGCATCCGGAAGCCTGAAGTGGTTTTAATCGTTGGGGGTTTCATGGACTTGCGTGAACGAGATGGAAAAAAAACTAAGTGCTGTTTTTCGCACGACGGGCAGATGGTTTGGGGGGGGGAGGGTCGGGGCACGGTACCGCCACCGTTGAGGGCCTGGGTTCGAATCTGGGTATCGGCCGCACGTGACCGAACGTGGATCTCAAGAGTGGCCGGTTGATGTTCTCCAACGATGGCACAAAAACAAATCTTGTCGAGTTACGTTTGTTTTGGTTTTTATTCGTTGAATTTCTTGCTGCGCTAATTACAAAATATTGTATGAAAAAACAAGGATAGGTTTTACCCTTTCTGGCAATAAAACAGGTGTTAAGATATTCTTAGCTCTTTCGGTAAAGTCACGTTGAAGGGAAACAATAAAATAATAAAATATATATAAAACAATAAAAAATTCTCACGACGTTTCGACCATAACACAAACGGTCGTCATCAGGTGTGTCGGTTCGCATTAATTTTTTTATTTTTAAACGGTGTATTTTAATGCAAACCGACACACCTGATGACGACCGTTTGTGTTATGGTCGAAACGTCGTGATAATTTTTTATTGTTTTATATATATTTTATTATTTTATTGTTTCCCTTCAACGTGACTTTACCGAAAGAGCTAAGAATATGAATTACTGCAGTCACGAAAGCTTTAAATCAAAATTTAGGTGTTAAGATGTTCAAACACCAAATAGAAACCTTTTGCAAGGTGTTTGAACATCTTAACACCTCCTGGCAAAAAGGTCCCATTTAAAAAAAAATATATTTTAACTGCCTGCGATGGACGTTCCTCACGAGCAAGCCATCATGCCTGTTAAAGTGTACCTCCTGGTGTGCATTAACTCGATCACTTGAAGATATTTTCTGAAGTAGTTCCACGACATACCCTTACACGGGCCGTTACGTAAAACACACGGTTACGCTGTTCAGCGAGCGTTCCTAACGGACGATACGTCGCATGACACGATGGCGATATCACCACACTTGGAATAAAATTCAATATTTTTTTAACCACCCCCCCCCCTTGCAAGGATTACATTTTATACCCCAAGACAGAACGGATCAGCATTCCGCCATCGTCGTCGCTGTCGTTTCATTCGTCGACGATAGCGGGGGGGGGGGGGGCCCGACGAGGAGCGGGAGGAGGAAGGGGAGCGAGTGGGGGAGCGGCACTCGCCCGCTCGATGGGGGGGACAGGTGCCGCTCGGAGCCAGCGTTTGAACAGCTGCTCGGATGTAATTGGTGTCCCCGGCTATCGACTGGGCCGTTGCCGTATCGTCCGCGTGCTCAAATCCGTCGACCCCCTCGCCCCGCCCAGCCCCGCCCGCCTCTCGCGCTTCCGCCGTGGCGGGGATATCGGGTGTGTGCCCCCTTTCCGCCCCTCTGGATAATCTCTGGCAGGGCGAATGCGGAACGGGAAAAGTCTCTCCTGTTGCGTCGAGCTGCCCGCGCCATTCTGAACTAAAGTAAAAAAAAAAATTTACCAGGCAAGGCCCACTGAGCCATACGGCTCTTTTTCAGGAGTGACCTGGCCACAGACGACAGCTCAGCGAAGTGGCTTTATCACGTGGACATTTATGGCAGACAAACACTCTTGACGCACGTTTCTAAACGTGGAGGGGAAAACCCGGAGGACGCGACCACGGGGAGCGAACTCCAAATATACAGCGGCGGCAGGTGTCAGGGTCCGGACCGAACCCGCAACCTCCTGCATACCGGGCGAGGCAGTTAACATCTCCTCGCCACCGCTGCGTTTGCTGTTCACGACGCTTCGCGGAAGGTCCCGAGTCATCGACGGCGTAGAGGCCTTCCACGCACGGGTTATCCGGTCACGCGCACGCACAGCCGTTTTGTTGATCCGCTGCTGGATGACGGCCTCGCCACGCCGTTGCGAGGCCGTGAGAATGTTTGAGCAGGTTTCTCCGCACACAGATCGGCGCGCGCGCGCGGGGGTGGCAACGATTTGGTGAAGGCGGAGAGTGTAGACGTTTATTATTCAGGTCCGCTGGCCCAACAACCCTCCTAGCAACGTGTCCTGCCCAAAGCCCGCTTGCTATTCTGAACTGTGAGAATGATGTCATTAACCTGAATGTTTTCTCATCCACGTGTTCCACTTTCCGTCTCTCTGTGCAATGACAATAATGCAATATCCATGCACACCTTTAAGATTTTGGTCCATATTGTTCGGTCGTGACCAAGTTTCTTAACCATATGTTAATAATTATTATTCACTACTCGCTGAAGGCCTTCTTCCTATGCCGTATCAACGGGGAATATTTTGACTATACTTCGCCGGACTTTTCATTGTGGGTCATTTGTAAAAAAAAACATTACATGTATAATGTTAACAATGCAATGTTTAATTATATTATGGAATTATTAATATATCAAAATAAATTATTACGCTTACGGATTCGCGCATTAAAAATAGTGTGTCGATTATGTTCAACTGCTATATTGGGCTTATAGAGGGTCGGAACAATACAGAAGATATGGCAAGGCCCCACCGGTTTTTCGCTCCACATTTAGAATCAACGTCACGCGTTCAGAATATTTGGCTGCTGTAAATTTCCACATCATAAGCCACTTGGTTGAGCCTTTCATTTGTGGCCCACGTCGTGTTGTAAAAGCGAGCTATTATATAGCTCGGTGGGCGTTACCTGGTAAAACTAAAAAAAATAGTTTAGTCTTAGCTTGTTTTGAGTGTCCTCTCAATGCTTTACGCGCGGTTTAATTATACCCCTGGTCGTTTATTCTGCCTCCTGTCTTGCAGTGACCATCTTCAGACAGATAATCATTCCATCGGTGTTCGTTGGCGAGACAGCGGGCCTTCTCCTGAAGACCTACTACTCGTACAGCGATGAGTGCGTCCTACCAACAACAACAAAAACCCCCATTGTTGCCCTTCCGTCGGTTTACGTGCCGTTCGCGTAACGCGTCTCGATGGTCAGAATCGTCGTCGCGAGAAATGCGCCGTCGCCTGCTGCGTGTGTTGGACCTACCCATTGCGCTGCGTGGCACCGCAGGGGACACGAAAGGATGTCGGTGGTGGCTCCGTGATGTCCACTTCCATGGGCTGTTCTTTCACGCCAAAAGGGGTCGCGTTGCTCTGCGAGCGATCCGCACGGATTCGGCGTCTCGTGACGTGACGGCGCTAGCGATCGGGATCAGCTGTGGGGGAAAAACGACCAAATAAACGTTTAGACGTTTGAATGGATTATGTTAGATTGTGGTGCTGGTGGGGTAGGTTCTCGACTGGCACGATAAGTCGGTTGAGTGAGGTGAGGGACTTGGCTGTACGTGGCTCTTGGTGTCATGGTGACTCCGTGATGTCACGAAGGGTTCAGAGGTCATTCCGGTTAAATACGTGCCCCATACGATCTGTCTGACAAGTTAACCCTCCTGAATGAATCGCAACCGCGATGACATCTCGGGACACGTGGTAGAAATATCAGTCACTTCTGTCAATGCACGGGCCTCTTGTATGTACGCATGTTGGATGTACGTAGCCAACCGTGCTGATCGGAGGTGTGGGGGAAACGACACAAGTCAGCTATAAACAAATGAGTTTTCAATCTAGATGATTTAAAAGTGCATAGCTCCAGTGGCTTCCTAGTTTCGGAAGGAAGAGCATTCCAGACGGCCACAGAAGCGCACCCCCCCTCCACCCCCCCCCCCCCCGCGGTGCGATCACAGAAATGACCGTGGCGCGTTCGCGTGTTGACGTGCGCTTTGCGCAGCTAATGCCGCGCGTGAAAGTCATTGGTCAGAGAAAAAACAACAACAACAACGGTTCCCCTTGCCCCTTGTTTAACGAGTCCCCGACGAGAGTTTTCTCAAGCCCGCCCCCCCCCCCTTCCCCCCTCGGGTTCGCCGTGAGCTCACCGGGGAGAACCTCCGGTGCGGCCGCGTCCTAACGCCGAGCGCCAGCAGCAAACGCGACCGCCGCGCGGCGCTTTGTCGTTATTCCCAGGAAAGCGCCGAGCGTCGTCGGACCGACGGGAAACCACCCAAGGATACTCGCTCCCATTGTACTCCCCGCGGGTCGCCCTGTTGTTTGTCGTGGTTCCGCGATAGTTGTTAAGCCCGTGTTTTTTTTTTTGGGGGGGGGGTGGTTTAATAATGAAATAACGCTCGCTTGCGGCGTCCGGGCGTGGAGAGAGCGGAAATGACTCGCAGTGAGTCGGCTTTCCTCAACGGACACAGGTGACCGTGCGTCCGGAAGGGACCCCGATTTAAAACATTTCTGCAAACGGGCGTCTCCATCGTCAATGTATACATGCCTACGGTGACCGGGCCTTAGGTAAAGATTTCACCGCCTCTACGGGGATGGTTTATGGGTACAAACTCAGCAGTCACTGGAAGGATGTTGTCGACCAGTTCAAGTCATAACTGGCTGTTGTGTTCACTTTCTATCTACGTGACTCTACCAAAAGAACCAAAGAATATTATTACCGTGTTTCACTAGGCAAAGCCCACTGAGACGAGGACGGACAAAATTTTGTTTATTGATAGGCTAACGTAAAGCCTCAGCCAAATCGCCTTGTCCACGATGTCCTGGGTGCTTCAGCGTGCTTCAAAAAAACGTTAACACTTACATGCCACTATCGTTTTTACATGAGAAAAGAATGGATTATACACTGTAACATGATCACAAATGTAATGTTAATAGCTTCACAAAGTCAAAGAGTCTCCACTCGTCCGCCATCATTCTCAACGCACGCCTGGAACCTTCTCCTCCAGGTGGTCTTCAGAGCCCGGCACATTTGTTGTGGTATTGTCGAAAAGTATCGGAAGTGTTAACGTTTTTTTGAAGCGCCGTGTATACACACATTTTTCAATTGCGAGATGTAAGGCAGTGCTGTCTGAACTGGTCACGCCAACCCCCTTCCACGCTCCCCCCCCCTCCCTCGCCCTCCTTGTCGCGCCGCCGACACACTGACCAGCGTGTGGTCAAGCAACCCCGTGTAGCCTGCGCAACCTGAAGTTAATCCGACAGGGGAGCCGCAGAGGTCTCGGGCGAAAACGAGTCGGTGTCGAACGTGGCCAGTGCCCGGATTATGCTAGGAAGTAAAAGTAGCTGTGTATGCTGCACTTGCTCTATTACTATAGTACTATACTGCCTTCAAACTTTTATGAACGACTGGGTGTTTAAGGTTTAGCGATTTGTCATATTATCTGGCTGTATAGCAAGTGAAAAAAATACAATTACTTTACTGTAATTGTTTTAATATTTATGTTTTTATTTATTTAGGGGCCCCTTTATGACATTTGCTACAGGCCCCGCGCTAGCTTAATCCGGCACTGAACGTGGCGAGTTAATTTTTTGAAATGCGTTTTCTTGTGCATCCCCCCCCCCTCCCACACCCCGACCCCTCCCACCCTCGGCCGGTTGGGTGTGTACTCGCTTAATTGTTATTTGTTTTGAGTGAAATTACATCTGCACCACCGATGTGTCACCTGCCCGGTAAGGTCGGGCTGTGTGTGTGTGTGCGCGTGCGCGATGGTGGCCCAGTCTGACACAGCTGGACGATCGTAGAAAATGGGGGAGGGAGGGGGACGATATCTTTGCCTCACCCTGACGAGGACTTGCGAATAGCTGCGGCAGGCCACACGGTTACCCCATTCCCACGGTGGCGAGATGTTGACTACCTCGCCTGGTATGCAGAAGGTCGTGGGTTCGATGCCCACCTTGACGCCTGCTGTATATTTGGAGTTTGCATGTTCTCGCTGTGGTCGCGTGGATTTTTTCCCCTCCGGTTTTTCTCACCGCATTTTTGAAACATGCGGTTTTTTTTTGTATTTGGCTGCTGTAAATTTCCACGTGATAAGCCACTTCGTTGAGCTATCATTTTGTGGCCGGGTCACTTTCTGAAAAAGAGCTACACAGCTCAGTGGGCCTTACCTGCTAAAATTAAAATAGTTTGAACTTCTTTCGCACCGTACGTAGCCAACCATGCTAATCCGAGGTGCGGGGGGAAGGACACCAAAGTAAACACAAAAAGCAGCTCTAAGGAAATGAGTTTTCAATCTCGATGATTTAAAACTGCATGGCTCCAGTGGCTTCTTCATGTCGAAAGAGCGTTCCAGACGCCCGCAGAAGCGCACCCAAAAGCGCCCCCGAACGTCTGTGCTCCACGGCTCGCCAAAAGCCGCCGCTGCGAGGATGACCGGAGGTTCGCGCGACGCCGGCGGCGTACGCTCCCTGACGACATCGGCGAGGTTCCCGCGGGTCGTCTGCGGCACAAGCGCCTTGCGCCGCGCGGAACGAGCGCGACCTTGTAACGCGCTCGTTCGGCGACCGCAAATTAGCCCGACGCGTCGCGGTGGCTCGTGGTTGCGAACGTCGTCCATCCGTCCGCCGCGAGGCCCCCCCCCCCCCCCCCGTTGAACTTGGCCCGTGCGCTGCACCCCCCCCCCCCCGACCCCCCGACCCTTGCAGTGCCGTCGTATTCTTGGGAGCCAAGGACCCCTTCTCGCTGGAGTATCTCTTCATCCCGTTCCTCGTCATCGTCGGGCTGTGCCTCGTGATCCTGCTCGTGTTCGGGGTACGTGGCGTGCCGGCGCGTGGCCCCCGACTCACAACGTCTTCCCACCTTGGGGGGGGGGTTTGGTGGGGGGAGGGGGTTGGAGGGGGGGGGGGCTGGAAGTTGTCGATAGTTTAATGTTAATGCGTCAATTTAATTGAGGGGCTACTGCTGTTTGTTATCTTGGTGTTTTCTGGGACTCTTGTGCTTTTACTGCCTCGCCAAATATTGATAAATCAGACATATATATTATTAATTATTACTTGAAGCTCATATTTAGTCACTTGCTTACCGTTTTCTCTATTTAGCCACTCCTATCGTGTTTGTTGTGTACGTATTGCTTGCTGTCGTAGCACTGCTGACCCCCCCCCGCCCATACTGGGACACCTGTGAAACTGGTCGTGACGAGCTGCCCCCCCCCTCTCTCCCACCCCCACGCGTTGTCACTGCCCCCCCCTGCAGGTGGCGCGTTGCGTGCGCGAGCGCCGGCGAGCCCGCAGGAACCGGTTGAGCAAGAGGCAGCTCAAGAAGATCCCCATGCACCGCTTCGAGAAAGGTCACTCGCCCCGCCCCGCCGCTCATCACCCCGCCCCTCCTCCTCCTCACCCCACCCCTCCTCACCCCACCCCTCCTCACCCCACCCCTCCTCACCCCATCCCTCCTCACCCCACCCCTCCTCACCCCATCCTTCCTCACCCCGCGGCTCCTCACCCCAGGAAAGAGCTATATAGGTCAGCGGGCCTTACCTGGTAAAATAAAAAAATAGCTTTAAATAGTTCGTTTAAGGATTATTGTAAAACTAACAAACAAGGTGTGTGTTACAGCCGTTAACGAAACACACGTGATAAACAATAAAAAAAAACTGTTTAAACACAATATGAGAGCAAGAGGGTGCCAGAGAGAGTTAGGTGAAGATGCAAGGTGGAAAAAATGTTCCCCTCTTAAGTACTCAATAAGTGGAACAAAGATGCTTGCAGTGCCCGGATAAATATGGTTCGCGGACCATTTCACTAGTGGCAGGCCTCATGCCTGCCACTGGCCGTATGAAATGAAGCCTGGCCTGTAGGCCGTAGGTTCCTCAACCCTCTGCTTTGTTGTTGTTGTGTCAAGCGGACGGCTATGTCGTATGTGGATGTACGTATAGATGTTTGAACTTATTTCGTGCCATACGTAGCCAACCGTGCTTATCGGCAGTGCCGGATGACTGCACACAAAGTCCCCAATTTATTTTAACTCGTGCTCAAGAGCTGTTAATGGCCAGCGTGTTTTCTACGGTTTGTTTACATTACTAACCCCCCCCCCGCCCCTCCGAATATGTTGAGCTTTTGCCACCAGCATCATATCATGAAACAAACAAAATTTCCACTCGGAACTCTAGCAGCTGGCAGTGTACCACCCTGTGTCATGGAATTACCTCTGAAATAACTTCAGTTATCCAGAGCAGGGACACGTGATCGGCTCGATTTTTTTTTACCGTTGCTTACGTTCACGATCATGTAATAACAGTCCGTCGGGGGGTGGGGCAGCTGATGCATGCGACCGTGTGTGTTTGTGCGCGTTTGTGCGCACGCTTGTGTGAGCGCAAGTGCTCGAGTGTGGATTGTATCAATTTGTAACATTTGCAAAGGGCATTCCATCCAGCAACACTTGGCACGTTCGCACAGTCGGTCCTGTTCGTCCTATTCAACGGAGCCCGTCCAGGAACCCTCGCTCTCAGTTTTAATGTTTCTTGGCACGCGGTACGCATAAGACGCGGCAAACAGTGAATCTCACTGTTGCAGAGAACACTTCCCCCGTGACCTTTCGTATCGGCAACGTGACCAGACAGGGATGCCCGCACGTTTGACTGAACGCCTCCTCCCGTCTGCACGCCGTCTCCCGATCGTCGATGTCGATCGTTCGGCGCGCGACTCAAGTTGCGCGGTAAATGGTGGGAGGCCCCGCCTGAGGGTTGGGTCCCAGGGAGAAGCCTGCGACTCGTCACTTGACAGGACGAACCTTCCCCTCGGGGAGACGTTAGCCAGGGCAACCCGGGGGGCGGCTCCGGGTTCGCGCGGCCAACAATCGCCCGCGCGTCACCCGCTCGGCACGCGGTTTCGCGCCCGCCGTTTGGCAACGTGTTTCTCTCCGCGTGCCATGAGTTCCTCCTACGCCGGAACAAAAAAAAGTGCCCCGTAAGTGTTTCGGCCAAACACCCCTGGACGACGCCCTCCGAGCACAGGCCCGAGAATCGCGGGGCCTTCTCTCGCCGGCCGTCTGGAACGCTCTTCCTTCCGATATCAGGAAGCCACCGGAGCCACGCGCTTTTAAATCCTCTACATTGAAAACTAATTTCTTTAGAACTGCTTTTTGTGTTCAGTTTGTTGTCCTTCCCCCCCCCCGCACCACCAATTAGCACGGTTGGCTGCGCACGGTGCGAAAGAAGTATGGCCAAATCGCCCAGAGTTTGCCACATTCGATAAATCTCAGAAGCTAAGCGGGTTTGAGCCTGGAGAGTGCTGTGATGGGCGTTCACCATGGAGACGAGGGTGCCAAGCTGCTGCATGGCTATTTTGTGGGCGGAAAGTGGAATTGCGCAGCAATATGGGGCGCCACGGTGGCTATGAGAAGTTAACTCCCTCGCCTGGTATGCAGGAGGCCGTGGGTTCGATCCCGACTTTGACGCCTGTTGTATATTTGGAGTTTGCGTGTCTCTCTCTCTCATCATCACGGTGGCTAGGAGATGTTAACTACCTCGCCTGGTATGCAGGAGGCCGTGGGTTCGATCCCAACTCTGACGACTGTTGTATATTTGGAGTTTGCGTGTCCTCCCCGTGGTCACATGGATTTTTCTCCGCCGCCTCTGGTTTTCTCTCACCCCCCCCCTCCCAATTTAGAATCGACATCACGCGTCTGAGAGTATTTGGCTGCTGTAAATGTCCACGCGATGAGCCACTTCGTTGAGTTATCATTTGTGATGGCCACGTCGCTTCTGAAAAGGAGAACTATGTAGCTCAGTGGGGCCTTACCTGGTAAAATAAAATAAAAATGTTTTATAGTTGTATGAATTAAATCTTGACTTAAAGCTTTCGCGACTCCAGGAATTCATATTGGTTGGGTCTTTCGGTAAAGTCACATAGATAGGTTGAAAGAAAATAACAAAAAATACTACGACGTTTCGATCACAACACAAGCGTCCGTCGACCCAAAGAAAAGTTGCTTGGATTGTTAAGATGTGCTCCTCAACTGTCACCAACCTGCAGTGACCCAGCGTCGTCACTACCGAGCATCATGAGCTGCTGCTGCTGGGTTCTTTACAGCAGAGGGCAGTGTAGTAAAATGCATTGTGCGGCTACGCCTCGATTTACGGAAGGGGGATGATGCGTTATCGCTATAAAATACCACGCGTAATACGGTGTCATTTTTTCCGCGTAAAAATAAGGCTTTTCCCATTTTAACTTAACGTATAAAATAATTCGCCGTGCGCGTTTTGGACGGTCATTCCACCTCGGCTGCTAACCTGAAAATATAATGCACTTAAATCATCTTTTCACCATGAAGGGCAGTCTCCGGCTCTTATTGTGCGCTACGTCTCTCTGGCCTCGCGATCTGCGTGCCATGAAGAAGGGCCTTTGCCCGGAACGTCGCCTACATCATATTTTTTTCCCCATGACGACCACAGTATTATTGCCGAACGCGTTGACGTTTTGTCTTTGCTTGCTGTTTATTTTAAAAGGCACGTATTATTAGTGTCAGGTTTAAAAAATATATATATTGGGGCTTGCATTCGGCCTTGTGTGAGGAGGGGGTTGGATTGGTGGCGTCGTAGTCTGCGCATTGCGTGATGAACCCAGAAAGCCGAGTTTGATCACCGGCCACGGCTAACTTATATCACTGGCAAGTGATTTTTTCCCCCTGCTTCACCAAGCTGCATATAGACTCGTGTGACCTTCACCACGTGGGGAGGTCTTCATCCAGCAGTGGATTGACAGGGGACCTTTAGAACTGCTCTTTGTGTTTTAGTTTATTGTCCTTCCCCCGCACCTCCGATTTGCACGGTTGGCTACGCACGGTGCGAAAGAAGTTCAGCGTACATACATAGACTCACACGTAGACCCATAGACTCACACGGAGACCCATAGACTCACAGGGAGACCCATAGACTCACACGGAGACCCATAGACTCACACGGAGACCCATAGACTCACAGGGAGACCCATAGACTCACACAGAGACACATAGACTTACACAGAGACCCACAGACTCACACAGAGACCCATAGTTTGTTCTTCCCCCCGCACCTCCGATTAGCACGGTTGGCTACATACGGTGCGAAATAAGTTCAATGTATGTTGCCGACATAAAGATACCCCCAAATATTAACTTCTTAAGACCGTTAAAATTGGGCACTGTTTGCCTTTTGATCCTTCATTGCTGGCTGCCTTTGCCTTTGATCGTTCATTGCAGCACTAAGTGCTCGGTTTAGGGTTAATCTAATCCAGGCCAGGTTCAGATACAATTTGCCACTGGTGTTGATCTTTAATGTGGTTGGTAATCAAATCCGGGGTGAATCTGGGTCACGGGGATTGATGCGCACTCCGCTGGATAACCATAAGGCCACTGCTGCTGCTGCCGAATTCCAAGGCAAAGATCCCCCGCATAACCACAACAGACTTTTGTGACAAGTGCTACAGCTATAAAGCCATCCTGTGGCGGATGCTGTTCGCGAGTACCCACGAAGCTTCGGCCACGGCACATGAGGGGGTGGTGTGACCAGCACCGTGACCCCGACCGCCTTTGTCTCACCAGTGCTGACCTTCACGCGTCGCGCCGGTTACTCATTTAGGGCCGAGCCAGTCAAGATACCACTTGACGCTAACATTGACCATCGCCGGGAAATCGAACTCAAGTTGTCGGGTTCGCGACACGGCTTGCGACCACTGCACCACCGCTCGCCCACATACAGTGTGCACAGTACAAGGGGAGACTCGCGACTGGTTCAGATAATCGCCACTGACGTTGGTTAGCCACGGCTGGGAGTTCGAACTCCTCTGCTCTCTGGACTAATACCGCCGTGCTCTAACCGCAACGCTACCGTCCTACGCACGCACGCACATGCTCACAGCTCGTGTTGCGCCTCACGCGTACACACACTTGCGCGCCCACGTGGATGCATTTGCGCGTGTGTGTGAGCGCACGCCCGCACAGTGCTACGCGTAAGAAGCCAGAGGCTCAATGGCACATTCCTCCGTCGACACACGATCACATCTGATGCGCGGCGGCGGGCTGGAGACGCCCGCCCGCCCGCCGCAAACAGCCGCCAGCCCTGCAAAGCAGAGAAGCGCCAGACGGCCACGCCGTTGTGTCGTCCGGCCCTGCGTGCACTGCACGCAGGGCCGCGGCCGGCGAAGGGAGAGCTCATCTCTCGTGATCCCCCCCCCCGTCGCGGCCACGATCGTCGCGCGTTAACGTACGCCTGTTTGTCGATCCACGGTTGGCTACGTACGGTGTGAAAGAAGTTCGACATACTACTGCACTGCACACTGCAATACTACACTAAACTACACGACTATACAC